GGGACTCGATCCCGGGACTCCAGGATCATGACCTGAGCCGAAGGCAGTCGCTTAACCAACTGAGCCACCCAGGCGCCCCGTAAGATATTCTTGTATTAAAGAGCTCCGGTGAAACTAGAGCCTGCCTTTTCTAGAACCTGCTACAGGGAGGGGCTGTTTTCAAAATGTTGGTGCCCCAGGTCCTTACCCTGGGTGTGGTCCCACAGGTACATCACTCAGGAAGGCCACAAGCTGGAAACGGGGGCCCCAAGGCCTCCAGCCACCGTCACCAATGCAGTGTCCTGGCGGTCTGAGGGCATCAAGTACCGGAAGAACGAGGTGTTCTTGGACGTCATCGAGTCCGTCAACCTCTTGGTAGGCTTCCTTTCGTTTCTTTTCTTCTTTTAGAGAAATTTTGTCTTCTCCATGATTGAAATAAAAGCAACTGGACTTTTTCAACTACCAAGGCCCTGAGAGACATTTACTTTCTGTGTGACAGCTGCTCAGCAGGATTCAGTTTAGGCCCCTCATTGCAGCTGGGGAGCCTGTTTTCTCTTCACTAGCTTTTGTTTCTACTTAGAATCAATGCAGGCACATCGCGGTTGTTGCTGTTTAAAGCAGGGTGGAAAGTCAGAAAGCAAAGGCCTCTATGTTCAGAGAGACCACCTCACTTAAGATTCATTATCATCCTTTCGGGCCCCATTCTGTACATTTACAAACACGTGCTGTCTTCCTGTGAAGCCAAGAGCATAAGATGTGGTTCCCACAGTTGTTTGACTGTTTTGTGCACATTGTTTTTTCCTTTGATGTAATTTTTTAAATTATCACTAAATAAAATTGACCTTCTTTTCTGTTAATTTTAGCACATGTACAGATTTTTGGAGCCCACTGCTATATAATCAGGATGCACATCCCCTCTAAAATCTCCCTCCTGCCCACCCCTTGGTAGTCCCACCCTTCCGCCTCTCCCCTGCCCAGCAGCCACCGCTCAGGTCCCCATCACTATCCAGTAGCCCCCCATACTCCAATGTTTCTCTTCCCCAGTCACCCGTGGTCCGGAATCAGATGGTCCGCCTCCTGACTATTGTCAGGTCAGCAGCAGCCTCACGCTACATCACAAGGCCCATGTCATTCACCTCGCTTCATGTTGTCATGAGGGCATTTTGTCCTCTCTCATCATTACAAGAAGGGTGGGTCTGGTACAATCAGATGTTTTGAGAGAGAGAGAGAGAAACCACATTCACATATCTTATATTGTTCTAATTGTCCCATTTTATTATTAGTTCAATGTTCATCTCTCACTGTGCCTCGTTTATAAATTAAACTTTATTAGAGATATATGTGTATAGGAAAAAAACATAGTATATAGAAGGTTTGGTACTGTCTGCGGCTTCAGGCGTCCATGGGGTCCTGGAATGCATCTCCTGCAGATAAGGGACGGCGGGGGGGGGGGGACTTCTCTGGTGTTCTCTTTTTGAGATTGTCCTATGAATGGAATTATACAGTATGTGACCTTTTGAGTCTGGCTTTTTCTATTTAGCATAATGCCTTTGAGATTCATCCAAGTTACTGTTTTTATCAAGAGTTTATTTCTTCTTATATTTACTTATATTTATTTTATATCCTGAACTACACCTTGTTTATCCATTCACTGATTGAAGGACTGTTGGGTTGTTTCCAATGTTGGGCAGTTGTGAATAGAGTTGCTGTAAACATTTCACATACAGGTTTGTGTGTAGACAGAAGTTTTCATTTCTCTAGGGCAAATACCCAAGAGTGGGATTGCTGGGTCATATGGTAAGTGTATGTTTAACTTTATAAGAAACTGCCAAACCATTTTCCAGAGTGGCTGCACCATCTTTGCCTTTTCACCAGCGGTGGATGAGAGTTCTGGTTGCTCCACATCCTTGATCAGTGTTTTGATTTTCGCCATCCTAATCAGCGTGTTGTATTAGCTCATCACGGCTTTAATTTGTAAGTTCCCTAATGACTAATGATGACCACCTCTTCATGTGCTTCTTTGTCATCCATAGATCATCTTTGGAGAAGTGTCTTTTCATGTCTTTTGAGTATTTTTAAACTGGGTTTTTTTTTTTTATGATTGTTGGATTTTGAAAGTTCTTTATATATCCTGGATACAAGTCTCTCATCAGATATGTGATTTGCAGATGTTTTCTCCCAGTCCATCACTTGTCTTTTCATTCTTTTGGTGCAGTGTCTTTCACAGGTCAAAAGTTTTCTGGGTTTTTTAAAAAGATTTTATTTATTTATTTGACAGAGAGAGACACAGCGAGAGAGGGAACACAAGCAGGGCGAGTGGGAGAGGGAGAAGCAGGCTTCCCATGGAGCAGGGAGCCCGATGCAGGGCTCAATCCCAGGACCCTGGGATCATGACCTGAGCCGAAGGCAGACGCTTAATGACTGAGCCACCCAGGCGCCCAGGACAAAAGTTTTTAATTTTGAGGAGGTCCACTTATCGATTTTTTGGTCTGTGTGCTTTTGGTGCCATGTCTGAGAACTCATTGCCAAACCCAAGGTCATATAGGTTTCCTCCTAAATTTCTTCAGAAAGTTTTATAATTTTACATTTAGATCCATGATCAGTTTGGAGTTAAGTTTTATATAAGGTAGGAGGTTTATATGCAATGTTTTTGCATCTAGAACAGTGTTCCAATATCATTTTTTGAAAAAACGATCCCTTTCTCCATTGAATTGCTTTTGTATTTTTGTCAAAAAGCAATTGGCCATATTCATGTGAGTCTGTTTCTGGACTCTCTTCTGTTCCATTGATCTGTATATCTGTTCATTAGCCCATACCTCACTGTATTGATAACTGTAACTTTATTTCAGATTATGTGATCCTGCCAACATTCTTCTTTTTTCAAAATTGTTTTAGCTATTTAGTTCCTTTGTACAAAATTTTAGAATCAGCTTATCTATATCTACAAAAAGATCCTGCTGGGATCTTGCTGGGTATTGTATTAAATAACTCTGTTAATCAGTGTGGGAGAAAATTGGTATCTTTAGTATATTAAGTCTCAGAATCCACAAATGCTGGATTAGTTAGGTCATCTTTGATTTCTTTCATCAACATTGTAGTTTTTACCACGTGTACTTTTTTTAGAGTTATAACTAAGTATTTCATTTTTTGAAGGTGTCGTAAATTGTGTATTTTTTATTTTATTTAGTAGAATTCACCTGTGAAACTATCTGAGCCTAGAGATATCTTTTTCAGAATTTTTTTTTTTTAAGAGAGAGGAGGGGCAGAAGGAAAGAGAAAATCTTCAGCAGGCTCCACATTGGGTGTGGAGCCTGACTCAGGGCTCGATCTCACCACCCTGACATCATGACCTGGGCCAAAATCGAGAATTGGATGCTTAACCAACTGAGCCACCCAGGCACCCCTTTTTCAGAATATTTTTAACTACAAATTTCAATCCTGTAAGTGTTATAGGATTATTCAGATTTTCTCTTTCATCTCAGGTGAGTTTTGGTAGTGTGTTGTTTTTAAGATGCTGGTCCATTTCATAGGAGTCATTGAGTTTATGTGCATAGTGTTGTTTATAGTATTCCCTTATTGTTTCTTTAATGTCTGCAGGGTCTATGCTGATGTCCCCTCTTTCATTCCAGTTATTGGCCATTGATGTCATATTTCTTTTTTCTTTGTCAGTTTTGTGAGAGTTTCATCTATTTTATTGATCTTTACCAAGAATTGGCTTTTGCTTTCACTGATTTTCTCTGTTGTTTTTCTGTTTTCAATTTCATTGATTTCTGCTATTAGCACTAGTATTTTCTCCTCTGTGATTTGGGTTTATTTTGCTCTTCTTTTTGTAGTTTCTTAAGTTGGAAACTGAAGATACTGATTTGAAACCTCTTTTCTAATATAAATATCTAATGCTTTTAATGTCTAAGTAATGCTTTAGCTGCATCCCGTAATTGGTATGTTGAATTTTCATTTTTGTTCAGAAAAAGTACAAATTTCCCTTGAGACTTCCTTTTTGACCCATGGATTATTTAACAAAAGTGTGTTGTTTAATTTTTAAATGTTCACAGATACTTATGTTATTGTCACTGATTTTTAGTTTAATTGCATTATTATCTAAGAATATACTTGTTAAATGTCAATGCTTTAAATTTGTTAAAGTTTATTTTAATGAACCAGAATATGATCTATCTTGGTTAATTTTCCATATGCACTTGAAAAACAATATATATTTTGCTATTGTTGGGTTGAGTGTTCTGTAAATGCCAATTAAATCCTCTTGGTTGGTGATGTTGTTCAGTTCTTCTAGCTTTTTTTGCTAATTTTCTGGCTACTAGTTCTACCTATTATTGACAGAGTATTAAAAGCTCCAGCTGTTAATTGTAAATTAATGTCTTTGCTTAGCAAATTTTGACATTGTGCTGATAGGCGCAAGCACATTTAGGATTCTTATGTTTCCTTGGTGAACCGACCCTTTCTTTTGTCATTATATAATATCTCTCATTATCCCTGGTAATTTTTTTGCTCTGAAGTCTATTTTGCTATTAATATTGTCACTCTGGAGTTCTTTTGATCAGTGTTTACACGCTATATGTCTTTCTGTCCTTTTACTTCTTTTTCTAATCCTTTTATTTTATTTTATTTTATTTTTAAAGTTTTTTTTATTTTATTTTTTATTTTATTTTATTTTTAAAGATTTTATTTTTTAGTAATCTCTATCCCCAATGTGGGAGCTCAAACTCACAACCCTGAGATCAAAAGTACACTCTACTGACTGAGCCAGCCAGGCACCCTGTCCTTTTATTTTTAACTTACCTGTATCATATATCTTGTAGACAGCATATAACTGGGTCATTTTTAAAAGGGTTTTATTTAAACTCCAGTAAGGTAACATACAGTGTAGTATTAGTTTCAGGTGTACAATATAGTGATTCGACGCTTCCATACGTTACCCGGTGCTCAAACTGGGTCATTTCTAAAAATCTATTCTGGGAGTGTCTGTCTTTCAATTGATATGTTTAGAGCATTTATACTTACAGTAACTATTAATTTGTTAGATTAAGTCTACTATTGTATTATTTGTTTTCTTTTCGTTCCCTCTATTTTTCATTCCTTTGGGTTTTGTTTTTTTTTTTTTCCCCTATCCTTCTATGGTCTGTTTGAATATTTTTAGCATTCCATTTCATTTCTTCATTGTGGTCATTACTATATCTCTTTGTATAGTTTTTTCTAGTTATTGCTATAAAATGCATACTTACCTTTTCATCATCTACTTAGAATCAATATTTTATCACTTCATTTGGAAGTGAAACTTCCAGAAACTTTCCTACCTCTTGATGCTAGAGTTGTTCCATATATTCATCTAGATACATTGGAAACCACACCAGACAGTGTTAAGACTTTTTTTAAAAGATTTATTTGAGAGAACAAGAGAACGTGAGTGAGAGAGTGAGGGAGAGCATGAGCAGGGGGGAGGGGCAGAAGAAGAGGGACAAGCAGACTCCCCACTGAGCAGGGAGCCTGGGATCATGACTTGAGCCAAAGGAAGACACTTAACTGACTGAGCCACCCAGGTGCCCCAGACAGTGTTAAGATTTTTGCTTTCAATTCTCAGACGTACTTGAAAGCAATCAAGAGAGGAAGAATAACAGTCTTCCACGTAACCGAGACATTTACCACTTCAGTTGCTTTCCCTTGATTTCCTGACTTTCCAGGTTTCCTTCTGGGAACATGTCCCTTGCACCTAAAAAGCTGCTTTTAGCAATTCTTTCAGAACAGGTCAGCTTGGTTTTCCCTCCTCTGAGAATGTCTTCATTTCATCTTCGTTCTGAAGGATATTTTGACTGGTTAACAAATTCTGGGTTGGCAGTTCTCCTTTGGCACCTTGAAAATGTCCTGCCATCGCTCGGGGCTCCGTGCTTCATGATGAGAAAGCCACAGTCACTCAAATTTATATCCCCTGTAGGTAATGCATTGTGTTTCTCAGGATGCCTTCCGGATTTTGTCTTTGTCTTTCATTTTTAGCAGATAGGTTATGATGTGTCTGGGTATGGGTATCTTTGGATTTCTACTGTTTGGGATTTGTTCGGCTTCTCAAATCTGTAGGCTTATGTCTTCTACCAAAATTGGGACGTTTTCAGCCAGTGTTTCCTCAAATAGGTTTGCATCATTTCACTCTTTCTCCTTTCTTTTTGGACTCCAGGGACATGAATGTTAGACCTTTTGTCAGTGACCCAAGGGCTCCTGAGGCTCTTTTTATTTTATCCCATCTTTTTTTTTTTTTCTTTTTGTTGTTTAGATTGGATGATTCCTTTTGATCTGTCTTCAAGTTCACTGACCCTTTCCTGTTTTGTCCCCTTTCTGCTGTTGAGCCCATCCAGCAAGTTCTGTATTTCAGTCATTGTCTTTATTAGTTCTAAAATTTCCATTTGATCCTTTTTCTTGCAGTCTGTTTCTCTGCTGAGACTTTCTATTTTAACATTTGTTGTCAGGATGTTTGTGATTTTTACCTAGCTATTTAAAGTCTTTGTCAGATAATCCCAGTATTTGCATCAGTGTTGGCACCTGTTAACTGTATTTTCCATGTGAGCTAAAATTTTCATGGTTCTTTGTATGCCAAGTAGTTTTAGATTCGATCCTGGACTTTTTGAATATTATAGGGTATTCATATAGGTATTGTTTAGATTATACCAGAAATGTCAATATTTGTGTTTCAGCTGACAGTTGACCTGGTTAGGTTCAGGCCACAAGTTGTAACCCCCAGTCTGTGGGCCATGAGTATCAGTTCAGTTTTCAAAGCCTTCCTGCCATTTGCTATTTGCGCTTATCCAGAGTATGCTCCACCTGCTGGTCGGTCTGGGACTGTGCAGTTTGTCTCTTAAAGTCTTTGACATACTAATTAGGATCATAGCCACTCATGCCCAGTTCTAGAGCTCTGGAGACATAAACAACTGCATGGGTTTGTTTTCCTGGACTCCTTATTCTTAGCTATCTTTCTGGTACTTTCCAGCTGCTTGGGGCATCCCTTTTTGGTTCTGTGACCGCCTCACTGGGGGCTCTAGATCCCCATTCTGTCGTGCTTGTCTGCAGTGGGCCCCCATCCTGGGTTTGCCCCACCCTCTGGGAACAGCAGCTGGGTTGCCTGGGGCCTGGGTGTGAGAGAACAGATAAAAGGGGGGAATTAGGGGATTTTCTGTACTCGCTTTAAGAGGCAGGAGTTCCCCTTCTGGCCCTGAAGCCAGAGCTAGAGGCTTCCCCGAGCTCGGTCTGCACCCCAGTGCTCGCTTCCACTTCCAAGTTTCCTCTGCACTTTGCCACGGAGGGGAGACAGGGAGGGCGCTGCTCCCACCGCGGTTCTTCCCAGATCCACCTGCTGTACCTTTCAGTCTTCCATGGTTGTCCGGGCACCCTGCTCAGGTTTGTTGTTGTAGTCAGTGGCAGGGAAAGGGGATGCAAGCTGACCCCGTGTCACCTGCAGCCTGCTTCGTCTTCACTTCGGAGATTACCATGACTGGGCCAATCCCGTCATGTGGCTCGCTCGGGTGTGCCCATTTCCAGCTGCTGCAGACAGTGCAGAAATGAGCGAGCTTGTTCATCCTCAGACTTGTGTTTGGGATATGTCCCGTACCTGGGCGGGATTCCTGGAAGGGTGAGTTCCCGGTTGTGGAATTGTCGAGAGTGCTTCCCCAACACATTCTCCCAGTGGACTTAATGTAAGCATATTTGCCTTCTTACTGTTTAAGTCGTGGAGCAAGACAGTGGCCTCAGTAACCGCATGCCCCTCCTGTCTCGGGACCTTTGTCTGAATTGTTCATTGAGCCCAGAACATGGTCCCTCTAACTCTAGAGTGTCTTGGGGTAGAAAAGCAAATCCCAAGGAGCAGTTTCCAAATAGCTGTATGTGAAAGCACTAGGAGTTCAAGGTGTATCCAGCCCCAGTGCACCCCAGCATGTGTCTGTGCCCGAAGGACCCCTGATCTTCCATACACGGGGCAGCATGAGGTGGGTGTGGATATCGCAGACGTGTCAGAACACCATCTTCCTGAGTCTGATTGCAGAGCTGGCAGCTGAGTCAACATGGGCCTCCAGATTCTGGTCATCAGGACGTAGTGATGTACTGAAGCAGCTCAGCAGACATCTCTTCTGCGCCCACCCGTCCTGGTTGCTGCCTGCAGGGCCGAGATTAACCTGGTGGGCTGCACGGCTTTTCTCCCCTACTGAGCCTGCCTCCCCAGCGTTCATGACCTCACATGTTCAGTTACAGAGTGTGTGCAGTCCCTACTCCCCAGGAGGAAGACAGCCCTCCCAATCTAGGGGCAGTCACAGCTGGAAGCATGGAGGGCCCCCTGAGTAAGGCCAGTCAGAGTGCCAGAGCCTGGCCAGCCAGCAAGGGCCCATGTTGGCACGTGCTCTCTGAGGACCTTCTGCCCCCAGGCACTGTCCTTGCGCTGGCCCAGCGGGGAGGAGCCCGACACAGCCCCTCACCAGAGGGGGGACAGAGATGGGTGGGCAGACAGAGCTGTCGAGAGGCAGGGGAGGGAGAGGTGGCTGCTGTGTGCTGTGGGGGCAGGGAGCTGCCTGCCAAGTGGGGACAGTGAGAGGCCATGTGGCCGGAGTATAGTGAGCAAGGGGGGGTGATGGAGCCAGACCGTGCAGGGCCTGCTGTCCTGTTGTGTGCCTTTCCTGGGGTTGTCATCTACTTGGTGCCTTAGTTCTCTGCCTCCCTCAGAGGCAGAGCGCTCACGTGTTTGCATGTGGTGCTTTCCAGACACTTGAGTTAAAAGCTGGACAGATTCTCCTCCTCCTCTGCAGAGAGAGAGGCAACTCGGGCCCTGCACCATGTGAGTGTGGCTGGGCCCTCTGAGGAGTGGCCCGTGCGGCCCCGAGGCCCCTGCGTTTGCAGCCCTGGCCCTCACCTGTGGATGTGGACGTGCTGATATTGGGTGGTGGTCACAGCTGGGGCCCCAGTGCCTCTGCCAGCCACCGTGCGGCCTCTGCCCTGTGCCTCAGTGTCCTTGTATCTAAAATGGGCATGTGAAGAGGTGCTGCAGCAGCCTGGCTCCCTCAGGACGGTCTCAGGGCTTGCCTGTTAGCTTGCCGTGACTTCTCATCGTGCTCAGATGCTTCCTGGTCTGCACGTGAGGTAGAGGGTCACCCGAGTCAGAGCCCCGGCCTGCAGGCTGTTGAGGCGCGCAGAGCCCCGCCTGGCGCAGAAGAAGGGCTCAGTCAGTTACTGTCATGACTGTATCTGTTTAAATGCACGGTTACTTTGGATCAGTGGTATCAGACTTCAGGGCACCCTGGGGAGCACCAAGGGGTCAGGGCCCTGAAAGCCCCATCTTTTGGAAGTAGGGACATAGGCTGGGTGGCCTCAGTCCCCACATGGAGAAACAGATTTCAAGAAAAGCAAGTGTGGCCTGCTCCGAGAGAGGCCTGCCTGTGTAACCTGAGACTTGAGAGGGCAGGGCCCCTGTGTCGGCCTCTGTGGCCCTGCACAAAGGCTGGATGGGAGGAAGGTGAGGCTCACCCAGCTCAGGGGATGGTGAGAAGGGCATTGAGAATGGGGCAACTGGTGAGCAGGGACCTCCCCTCACGCCTGCCTCGCCATCCCCCAGGTCAGTGCCAATGGCAACGTGCTGCGCAGCGAGATCGTGGGCTCCATCAAGATGCGGGTCTTCCTGTCAGGCATGCCCGAGCTGCGCCTGGGCCTCAATGACAAGGTCCTCTTCGACAACACAGGCCGTGAGTACCCCGCCAGCCCCACGGCGTCCCTGTGGCCAGAGCGGGCCTCGCGCTGAGCTCAGAGCAGCGCTGAGGGGATATTGAGCTGCGTGAGGGAGCACGCGGATCTCAAGCACTTGCTTCAGACACATTTTCACGTTGCGGACAAGATAACTGTGGAAACTAATTCATCAATACCTGGACATAGAAAATACAGAAGAGTGAAGATCCCAAAGTCAAGTCCCCCTACCGCCCCCCAGGCTAGAAGACAAGGGCCAGTGCCTTAGATGTTAAGTTCAGGGAGGGTCACGCAGCAGGTCCGAGACCCTGCGCTACACCATCCTGGAGGGAGCTGCGGGCTCAAGGTTAGGCCTAGTCCTCTCCCCTCCCTGCGGAGCTCCTGTCCCCGCGTGGGGCACGGGGTCGGGGCTGCTCTAAGGCTGCACACAGTGGTTCCAGCTCTCACCACCTGGCCTGGACGTGGCACTCGCTGTGCTGGGGCAGGGGCCACAGTGACCGCAGAGCCCCGCTTACTGAGGTTCTGTGTTTACAAACGGGACTGCCAGCCGCGGGAGCAGTGGCCGCGCCGTCGGACTTAACCTCCACAGCAGCAGGACTGAGGCCCTCTCTGGTGTTGGCCCATCAGGGCGGCTCCTGTCCCTGGCTGGCCCGGCCTGCACAGCTCCTCTGTGGGATGGAACACCAAGACAGGAACCAAGAACCCAAGGGATGATGATGATGGGGGCCAGGGCGCACTGGGAGCCCTGAGCCATCGCCGTGCATCCCCAGCCCGGTCTGTTAGTCATTCGGCAAATGTGTCCCAAGCAGCAGCCCTGGCCAGACCCTGAGCTAGCTGCTGCGCACTCCGGGTGAACCAGACCTCCCAGCCGTGCCCTCAGCAGGTGCCCAGTGTCAGGATGTGACGAGGCTTCCAAGGGGCTGAGGAGGGACAGGGGAGGTTTTCTGGGAACCTGGACCCCTTGGCCTTTGTGACCCACAGATTTGAGGGGCAGCTCTGCTCTGCCAGGGGTGAGCCCCAGGCAATGGGAGCGTTGCTGACAGAGTGACCCAGAGGGCCTAGGGTCTGTCCTGCCCTTACCCCTGCCTCCCCTCAGGTGGCAAAAGCAAGTCCGTGGAGCTGGAGGACGTGAAGTTCCACCAGTGTGTGCGACTCTCGCGCTTCGAGAATGACCGCACCATCTCCTTCATCCCTCCAGATGGAGAGTTTGAGCTCATGTCCTACCGCCTCAACACCCACGTGAGTGCACCCACAGGCACCTGCCCCCGGGGCGGGCTTCCACCCAGACGGCAGTGGGCAGTGTGTGGAGGCCCCAGACAGGCTCCCACCTCCTCCCCGGTGGGTGGGAATAGTCCCCATCCAGGATGAGTCTCACATCCACAAGATGATACCCAGGGTAGGCAACAGCTCCCACGGGCTGCCCAGGCTCCACAGAGCCCATGTTCGACAGCTTGGGGCTCTGAACTTTCTGAGGGGCCAGACCCCATTCTAGGCAGCCCTCGTGGTGTTTTCTGCATTTTCACAGAGGCCCATCAGTCTCTATGTCCATCCCGGTCTCGCTGTGGACTCCTTCCATAGGGCGTTGGCATGCTGGGCTCACACCTGGGCACATGGTCCCCCTTTCCCCAGGCCTCAGTTTCCCCTCTGTGAGATGGGCCTCTGTAAAATTACCATGCATGAGTGCCACCTTCACTCTCCCCAATAGGTCAAGCCCTTGATATGGATCGAGTCTGTGATTGAAAAGCATTCCCACAGCCGCATAGAGTACATGATCAAGGTGCGTGCACATCCCACACACAGCGTCAACCTGGGGGCACAGGCAGCACGGGGGTTGGTGGATGGCCCTGCCTGCTCAGGGCCTTTGGCACAGGGTCCTAGCCAGGGCAGGGGCCCCACGGGGCTCTGTGCTCCCTATCCTGGGAGATAAGGCCTGTGGCTGAAGCTTGTGCTGCCTCACTGGGAGCCAGAGGGAAGCATGGGGAGCCCTGAAGGTCAAGGGGGCTGGAGGGCGTAGGGAGAATCTCGGGTGGGTGAGAGGGTGTGAGCTGTGCCTGGAGGACGGGGGGTCGGCTTGGTGGGGTCCCCAGGCCAGGCCTGGGGGGAGCAGGCTGCGTGGTCTCACCTGTGCCTCCCACAACCTTGGCTGCACTGGTCTCATCTGCAGGCCAAGAGCCAGTTCAAGCGGCGGTCAACGGCCAACAACGTGGAGATCCACATCCCCGTGCCCAACGATGCTGACTCCCCCAAGTTCAAGACGACGGTGGGGAGTGTCAAGTGGGTCCCTGAGAACAGTGAGATCGTGTGGTCCATCAAGTCCTTCCCGGTGAGTGCCCTCTTCAGCGGGATGCCCCTCTTAACTTCCGCCCACACAGTCCCCCCTGCTCCCTGTGCCCATCACAGCACAGCCGCCTCGAAACAGGGCACAGGGCCTCGATCCCCAGCCGGGGGTTCTGGGAGGCCAGCAGAGGAGAGCTGAGGGGCTGGCCGAGCACGGAGGGAAAGCTGGACCTGGCAGAGGCAGCTTGCATGTGACCAGCCTGTCTGCAGGATCAGGGCATGCCCCCGCCCTCGCTCTGACACCGGTTCAGAACTCAGCTTCCCTTGAGGGGACCAGACTGCCTCAAGGCCTGAGCAGCGTGGGTTTCAGGAATCCAGCACCAGCTCCAGGAACGTAGAGCACTTCATGCTGGCCTAGCCGCCTGGCTTGTGTTCAGGATTTTCAGCACTGGAGTCCGGGTTTGCCGCAGAAGTGCCCAGAGATCCTGGAAGGTGGATGTGTGTTCTGTGCCGATTATGGCCCATTGCCTTTTTCTCATTATAAACAAGATGGAGCTCCTTTTCTTATGTCTGGGGGCCATTTGCATTTCTTTCTCTGGAAGCCGTAGCAGCCATCTCTTCCTCATTTTTCTTTCAGGTTTGGTCATTTTCTTTGTTTCCAAGAGCTCTTTATATATGGGCAAGTTGAGCACTTTTTCTTTGATGTAAGTCGCAAATGGTTTTCCCCAGTTTAATGTTTATCTTTTGGCTGTGTGATCTTTTTTGATTCATTATTATTTAATGTAGTCAGATTTCCTGGTCTTTTCTTTTTATTGCATCTGAATTTTAAGTCATGCTTTGAAAGGCTTCACCATTCCCAGATGTAAAGGAATTCACCTATATTTGCTTCTAGAACCTGTACGGTGGCATTTTTCACCTTAGATTTTAGGTGCTTTCAGAACTAGGTCTGGTAAATGGTGGGAGGTACAGGTCCAGTTTTATCTTCTCCAAATGGCTATTCAGTTTTTGAACATCGTTTGCTAAAAAGTCCATCTTCTCCCCTGTGGTTTGAAACGCCATGTTTATTACATATCAGATTTTCACACGGCATTAGATCTCTTTCTGAATGTCCTGTTGTCTCTCTGTCCACGCAGCAAGGCCATATTTTAACTCAGAGCTTTATTCTCTGTTTTAACACCTGATAAGGGCAGCCCCCCCCCCCCCCCACATCACTTGTTTGTTTCCTGGTGATTCTTCCTTGCTTACTTGTTTGGTGTTCCTTTTGAATTTTAGAATCAGTTTGTTTGCACTAAATTTATAAGTTGAGTAGGAAGAGCTAACACCTTTATGAGGCTTTGTGCCTGTCTCACCTCAGTGCTTTGGGGGCTGTCTTCGTGTTTACCGTATACACCTCACATAGCCTCTCCCTTGGTTTAAAAAGTACTTTCATTGAAGTACAACATGCAGAAAAGTAGACAGATGAAATGTGGACAGTTCGATGAATTTCCTCACAGGGGGACACATTCATGTGCCTGGAACCAGATGAAAGCTGCAGAACTGCCCGCCCCGCCCCGCCCCCCCAGCGCCCCGTCCTCAGGAGCCCCCAAGGTTCCCGCCAGTTTGCCCGTTTCTTGTTAAGATGAGCCTTAAGTCAGTGTTCTGGTGAGTGGGGTCTTGTCTTCCACCGTGTCTTCCAGCAGGTAGTCACTGTTTGCATGGTAATTTCACGCCCTGATTCCTTACCAGGTGTCTGCTTTAGGGTAGTTTTTCTTTCAATTCCTGTGGGTTTTCAGATATTCTTTTGTATCATTTGCAGCCAGATGCAGTTTTCCCTTCTCCTCTGCTCTTCTTGGGCATTTGATGGCTCTGGCGCCTCCTCGCTTTGGCTGCTCTCTCCGGGACCTGTAAGTGGTGGTGGACAGTGGCCTCCCGGTCTTGCCCCCACCTGGAGACACCAGCCATGTCCCCCCCAAGTTCGACGCCACGTTGGGCCGTGGACTCGATCCAGCCCTACTTTACTGCGGTTTTGGCACAAATGGGTAACAGACTTACCCAGGTGCCCCTTCAGTGTCTGTCAGTTCAGGTCTGTCAATGGGTGGAGCTGGACCATCCCTGCGTTCTGGTAAGCTCCACCCGATCGAGGTATCTTTCCTTTTCAGTGCACCGTTGGATTCTGTCAATGACATTGTACATAACATTTTCACTTCGATAATCACAACGGAGGTTGATTTTTTTTGGTGCACTCTCTGTCAGGTATTAGTGTTAGACCTGCTTCGTAATTACTCTGTGTCCCATCTCCGTGCTGCAGAACCGTTTAAGTGGCCGGGACATCATCTGGTCTTGAGAAGGTTGATAGAATTTGGCTGTGTGACCTTCCGGATCTCGACTACTTTCTCCATCTCTTTTCTGGAAATTGGGTCCTTCAGAGTTTCCATTTCTGTTGGAGACTGTTTGGGTAAATTATATTTCCCTTCAAAATTATCCATCCTAACCAGGTTTGCAAAGTTGGAGAAAGTGGTCCTTTTTTTCTTTTCATTCACTTATGATGGTTACTTCTTCCTTATTCTTTCTTCTTGTGTGTATTTGGGTCTTCTGTTTCCCTGGGTAAGGTTGCCTAGTAGCTTGTCTTTTTGTTTTTTCTTTCCAGGTTTGTATTTTAATTTTGTTGTGATATTTTTCTGTCTTTTATAAGTCTTTAATTTGCATGTCTTCATCCTTTCTTCTAATTTTTCAAGTTATTTTCATTTGATGATTTTGCTTTAAAATTTATATTAATCCAAGTATTTATATTAATCCAAGATGTTCCTCTAAGCCCTGCTTTACCTCTGTAACCCATAGATTCTGACATGTAATATTTGACTTGCTCATCTAGAAATTCTGTAACTGGATAGAGGGTTGTTGTGGTTGTTCTTTTAAAGATTTACTTATTTATTTTAGAGAGAGCAAGCATGAGCCTGGGGGAGGGGCAGAGGGAAAGAGAATCTCAAGCAGACTCCCTGCTGAGTGTGGAGCCCAATGCGGGGCTCGATTGCAGGACCCCGAGATCATGACCTGAGCTGAGGTCACGAGTCAGACGCTCAACCAACTGAGCCACCCACGTGCCCCGGTGGTTCTTTTTAAATTTCCTAGGGCGTAGGCCTTCTGATTTTCATTTCTCCTCACCACCAATTTGGAGCACTAAACCCAGAGAGTGTTATTCTTACTGTTTCTACTTCTGGGATTTCTCGAAGTGTTCGCTGTGTGCTAACAGAAAGTCAGAGTTTGTAAATACCGCAGGTGCACTGGGGAGGAAGACGAGGCTTCTGTTACTGGGGTACGGGGCCCGTGAGGTCTGCCGTGACGCCGTGGCAGCATCCGCCTGCTCAGCGCTGCCTTCCTCTGGTTCCCTTTGCACGTCATGTAGCATCTGCTTAACAGAGGTTGCCGCCCTGTTAGTTGGCGCTCGTAGACACTCGTGACTATGATACTTTCCCTGTGGATCGTAGGACTGCAGCCTCTAGGACCGTGGCCCTCCCTTCCTGCCCTGACGGCAGCCCCTGCTGTGTTTCGTCTGCCCCTCACTGGCGCGCCTTCACCCAGTCTTCCTGCTGGCGTAGCTTTTGTCCACTTTTGCAGCACAGAGCTGTGTTTTGGTCTGTGAGCCAGCCTGTAGGTCTTTCTGGTCCAGGCGAGCATTAAACCCGTTGACATCGACATGGTGGACCCAGGGCAGGGGAGCAGACTTCTACCACTCCGCTGGGAAGGCCTGCCCATCTGCATGCGCTTTTGCTTTCGTTTTCCCTTTTGTCTTCATAAGGCTCAGATTTCGGATCTGGTTATTGTCTCATACACAGGCTGGCGGAGCTGATTTTATTCCTTTGCTGCCTGCTTTGTCTGCTGCTAGGACCACATTAGTCTCCCCTCGTTGTCCCAGAGTCTTTACTCAGCACATGTCCCTGCCTCGGGCAGAGCCCCCGCTCTCGCACTGGCCCCGGCGCTGGTGAGCAGACTGGCACCATCCCAGGGCGGGGAGCCTGAGCGCGGCCCTGGGGAGCCGGGGCTCGGCTCTGCTCTACCCGAGACGCGCGAGGACGGCCGCCGGCCCCGGTGGGCAGCCAATCCTGCCAGAGCCCCAGGGGTCAACAACTGCAGGGGCCTGGTGTGGCCGGAGCTGAGCTCTCTCTGCTCCCCGCTGCTCGAGGTGAGACACACCGGGCCCCTGGACCACCAGACCGAGATGCCTTCCTCCTGTGCCAGACCGGGCTTCCAGGCCTTCCTGGGCCTGCCCCGGGCCCCATCTCTAATCACTGCTCGGCCTCCGGGGCCAGAGCTGCCCCGTTCCTCCCCCTCGGGACAGGACGCCAGTCTAACTCATCAGTCAGCCCCTGGCCTCGGTCTGTTACTTTGGTACCTCCCTCTACTCGCCATCCCTCACTTTGACCCCCCCCCCCCCCCCTTTCCCCCCCCCGCTGCTTGCACACGCTGCCTGCTAGACTTTGGGCATGTGGGGGTGTTCGCTTGGACTCTGGCCTGGGCAGGGGGGCATGTGTCCCATGGTGGCACCTGCACTGTCTGTGCCCCCTCTTCCTTCCTGAGGCCTGTCCTGTCAGGCTGGGCTTCCTTGAAGCAACTAGTCCTCCCTCCCGGAGAGTTTGTGAAACTCTTGATGCTTGGAATTCCCCGGTTTTCCCAGCATGCCTCTGATCTGCCCGGCACAGCCGGCAGGACAGTCCGTGAGGCCTGGGGTAAATATGAGTGTGTTGGAGGAGCTGAGACTCCGGCTGACCACAGCCATGCAGGAAGGGGCTCAGTGGCCATGCCAGCAACCTGGAATCCTCTGGGGGCAGCTGTTGGCCTGACCCTCTCTACCTCGTGTGCTCCTCCAGGGGGGCAAGGAGTACCTGATGCGGGCCCACTTCGGCCTGCCCAGCGTGGAAGCGGAGGACAAGGAGGGCAAGCCCCCGATCAGCGTCAAGTTTGAGATCCCCTACTTCACTACCTCTGGCATCCAGGTACGCGTGGCTGGGGTCGCCAGGGCCCCGGAGCAGACATGGGCAGGCCCAGGTGTCCGCCCCGGCTCAGAGAGCTGCAGACGACAGCTTAGGTGAGGGTGCTGGTCAGCCTGTCCCGGGCCCACCGCGGGGCTGCCCTGCTTCTGCCTCTCTCCACACCTGTCAGCTCACACCTGACCCTGTGTTTCGGCTCCGAGCTCAGAGATTGGTTTGACCCCCAGAACTAGAGTCCAAGCCTCTAGTGTCCACGCACTTGCCACCGTGGGGCCTGTTTTCCTGGGCACCTCCGTGGCAGATCTGTGAGGGGAAGTGCCTGAGAGTACACACACACACCCTGGCTCTTTTCCCCCCCTTCCAGCAGTGACCCCTCCCTCCCACGGCGTCCGCATGCTATGGACAGGCACCCGCCCCTCCCATCCCCTCCCACTGCCCCCTGCCCATGCTGGCCCGCTCCTCATCACAGCCTCCCCTCCCTGGCCTCTGTGGGGAGTGGGGGGGGACCAGGAGGGGACAGCGTATACATGCTCAGGGCCCTGCTGCCTGTGCCCTAGGTGCGCTACCTGAAGATCATCGAGAAGAGCGGCTACCAGGCTCTGCCGTGGGTCCGCTACATCACTCAGAACGGAGGTGTGTGCAGCCCACCCATGCGTGCTACTGAGAGGGTGGTGCACGTGGAGCAGCCCCAGGGTTGGGGGGGCAGCCCCTCCCCCCTCAGGTACAGTGCAGAAAACCAAGGCCTCCCTCCCTGATTCTAGATTACCAGCTCCGGACCCAGTGAGGGGCCGTGCAGCCAGCACCCCCCGGCCCCGGCGCTGGGGCTCCTGGCGGAAGCACCAGGAAGAAGCACCTGCCAAGCCTGCTGGATGGAGGAGGGGCACCCCTGGCCACCGGCCACCCTCCCGGCTCCTCCCGGGGACCCCTCCTTTTCCAGGCACACCTGCTCTGCCGTTGCCACTCTTGTCTCTGGGTCCCTTCTCCCGGAAGAAGCTCATCTTCGAGAAGTCTTGTCTCTCTGTCCCCTGAGTCAGTTTGAGGGGAAGGAAACGAAATCTTTCCCTCTAGAGATCAAACACAGCCTCTTCTGTGCTGGTTAGCTCCCAGGCACCACAAAGAGGGGGAAGTGCCCACCCGGCCACTGGCTGCACATGGCTTCTGGCCAGGCTGGCCGGGCCACCGTTTGGTTGCCATTCTGTTGAATGTTGTAGGTTCATGAGTGTTCCTAGTTTCTGTCTCGTTCGTTCCTTGTTGTTCACGTGAACCTCACTGTCTGCGCCTCCTGCCCCCTCGTCCTGAAGCTCTCGGGCAGCACTTAGTGAGGGCAGAGTGCCCTCCTCCTCAGCAAGGCCCACACGACACTGGGTTCCCTTCCGTGTCTGGCCCGACCCTGGCCCGTGCCTCTGCGGCAGGGGCTCGTCGCCTCTCGCCCGAGGCTTCGGCGGAGGTGCCTTCCCAGGGTCCGCTGTGCCGTGTGAGGCCGTCACTCAGCCGCATCAGTGTTTGTCCCCCCAAGGAAGTGGTGTCCAGCAAGGACCGCTGCCTCGGAGGGTTGGGGGCACAGGTCATCCACATCTGTGCTTGGTCACCCACCGCCACCCTGCCTGTGTTCATGTCATGATTACATTAAAGTCCATTACGGAAACACACTGCCTGCTTTCCCTCAGACACAGCATGTGGCCGACTCCTCCTGGGTGAGCAGGGGCGGGTGCGGGGCTCACATCACCCCCCGCCCCCTGACGGTCTTCCTCAGTGTGCTCCTCAGAACAGCGGCGTCCATGTCCCCTTTGAGCTCATTTGGAACGCACATTCACAGATCCACCCTGACCTGCTGAGAAAGAGTTCACAGGTTCCATGGATTCACACGTGCACTGGAGTTTGAGAACCGCTGCCTGGTGCACAGAGGGGATCACGGAGGGCACATAGGCAGGAAGCACCCTGTCTTCCCACAGCGGGCACCTGCCTCACACCCCCCCCACGTCTGTGCTGCTGGCCCTGCCTGGATCACCCCCTCTTCCTTCAAAGGTTATGCTCCCCTGGCCCTCTCCCGTATCACCCAGCTCCCCCCTGGAGGAGTGGTGGGCATTAGCCCAAGTAGGAGCTTGTCCTTTCAGCTGCACTGAGTTAAGGATACCACCCTGGCCCAGAGCTCAGGCCAGAGCTGCTGGAGGTACCCTTGATGGCCCCTCCTTCACTGCCCACACCCACATCCACAGCCTGGCCTCCCTCCAGAAGAGACCGTGGGTCCGATAGCATTTCCCGTCCTCACTGCCACCCCTGGAGGACAAGCTGCAGCCTCCAGAGACCCTGTGGGACACAGAGGTCATCCGCAGTATGGGGGGGGGGGGGCCTCTGTTCCCAGCAACGCTTAGGACACGGTTGTCTGCAAGCCCTCCTGCTACTAGCACATGGTATGTGGTGTTTAGTATATGTAAGAGAAAGACAGAATGGGGCTAAGCATCCATCTCAAGAAGTCGGGGAAAAAAACAAAAGCCTAAGAGCATAGAAAGAAGGAAAAAATAGCAGACATGAAGGAAATAGAAAACATTCAATGAAAAGCAGAAGCACAAGGTGGTTCTTGTAAAAGAATTCAAAAGCTGCTAGGAAGTTGAATCAAGATGAAAAGAAGGCACAGGTTGCTCTCACCGGGAATGAAAGTTTACTACAGCTTCTCAGACACGGAAGTTACGGCAGGACAGCCACCACCTCACAGGGCGTGCGGGCCGCCCTGTGCCCCGGAGCGCCGGCCACCTGGGGGAGGGCTGTCCTTGTCTAAGCCACCCAAAAACCCCGGAGGGGTCGTGGGATGCTGGGAGCGACTTCATGCCAGCACACTTGAAAATGTTAACATGGGTAAATTCCTAGAGAACAAAAGCTGACTCAAAAAGAAGGGAAAAAATCTGAGTAGTCCTATGGCCACTAAAGAACCAGAGCTGGTCAGAGCTCCGGGTCCAGAGGGCCTTATTAGGAGAGCTCTACCCAGCACTCAAGGGGAAAAAAGAGAATTGAACAAACACTCCCGGAGAGTAGAAAAATAGGAAACATTTCCTGACTCATTTTATGAGAACAGCATTTCCTCGAAACTATGAAACAGGAAAATTATAGACTAATCTCACTGATGGCCATAGATGTGAAGATCCTAAATAAAATCGGAGGGGAATTGGCGGTGTATACAAAGGACATAACCTTGTGTCTAAGGTTAAATCTTAGGTAAACTGGTTTAATGCTGGAAAATGCGTTAATCGAATCCACTGTCTTAAAAAGAGTAAGGGAGGGGGCGCCTGGGTGGCTCAGATGGTTAAGCGTCTGCCTTCAGCTCAGGTCATGATCCCAGGGTCCTGGGATCGAGTCCCGCATCGGGCTCCCTGCTCCTTGGGAGCCCGCTTCTCCCTCTGCCTCTCTCTCTCTCTCTCTGTCTCTGTCTCTCATGAATAAATAAATAAAATATTTAGGGGCGCCTGGGTGGCTCAGTCCTTAAGCGTCTGCCTTCGGCTCAGGTCATGATCCCAGGGTCCTGGGATCGAGCCCCACATCGGGCTCCCCGCTCAGTGGGAAGCCTGCTTCTCCCTCTCCCACTCCCACTGCTTGTGTTCCCTCTCTCGCTGTGTCTCTCTCTGTCAAATAAATAAATAAAATCTTTAAAAAAAAAAAAAAGTACATAAAATATTTAAAAAAAAAAAAGAGTAAGGGAGGAAAACATTTATGATCGGTTCAATAGGTGCAGGTAAAGTGTTTGATAAACATTCATTCATGATCAAAAAGAATAAACAACACATGCCAACTCCAAACTATTGACAATGGTACCCCCCAAAATGAAGTACCTGGGATTAAATAAAAAAATACACAAGGCTCTCGAGGAACTTTATGGAGGGTGTTCAGGGAAGACCTAAAGGAGAGGGGGGCACATCCTGGTCATAGAATGGACATCTGTATCAAAGACGCCAACATTCCCTGTGGTTGGCAGAGTAACGGGCTCCCCCCTCAAAGATGTCTGCGGTCCCCAGAACCTGCGAATATGTTAAATTGCATGGCAAAGGGGATTAAATTTGCGATGGAATTACGGTTGCTAATTCGCTGACCGTAGTGGGGAGGTTACCCTGAACCATCTGGTGGGTCCAGTGTAACCACAACGGTCCTTAACAGCAGAAGAAGGGGACAGAAGAGGGAGAAGCAGAAAGCGGTGGTGTAGGAGGGACCCGGTCTGTGGTTGCTGGCTGTGAGGGTGGAGGAAGGGGCCATGGGCCAAGGATGCAGGCCGCCTCCAGAAGCTGGAAAAGGATGAGACAAATTCTCACCAGAGTCTCCAGCAGGAACACAGCCCTGCTGACACCTGGGCTTTAGCCCCGTGAGACCCTTTCAGACCTCTGACCTCCAGGATTTAAGTTAATAAATCTGTGTCGTTTTATGTTTGTGATAATCTGTTACAGCAGCAGTAGGAAACGAATAGACTTCAAAACTATGTATAGGCTGAAGGCATTCCCATTCAAAATCCCAGTCAGGTTTTTGTGGAACTTGATAAGCAAATTCTAAAATTTACATGGAAGGTCAGAGCAAAGAATAAGAATCTTGAAGAATAAAATGGGGCACCTGGGTGGCTCAGTTGGTTAAGCGTCGGACTCCTGATTTCGGCTCAGGTCATGATCTCAGTGTCGTAAAATCGAGCCCTGTGTCGGGCTCTGCATTCATCAGGGAGTCTGCTCGAGTTTCTCTCTCCCTCTGCCCTTTACCCCACTTGCGTGCTCTTTCTCTCAAAGAAAGGGATGACCTATTTGGGCATCAAGGCCTACTTCATCAATAGTAATTAAGACACATACAGTGTGATTGCTTTAGAAGGAAGTTCAAAAACAGACTTCAATGAAACTGTTCTTTAGGGATGCTTCCATCGTAAGGGGCAAATCTAAAGAAGAGGAAGTCAGAATGGGTCTACCTTGGGCGGAAGAGGGGAAGGCACAGGGGGCTCTGGGGTGCTGGCCGCTCTCTCTTTCTTGAGTGGGTGGTCTTGACATGGGTGTTTGCCTCGTAATTCTGTTGAACTGTATGTTTATGTTTTATGAATTTTACAGTATGATGTTATGATACTTAATGCATCAAAAATCAGATGAGTTTAATGCCACTTAACAGTTCCTGACCAAAAAAAGATGGAAAACCCCCAATTCATTCTTTTAAGCAGCCGGCACTTGAATGCCAAAACCAGTTAAGGATGGTAGAGAAGAAACCGTGGGCGAAACCTACTTATGAATAACAAAACTCCTAGACAAAATATTAGCAACCGGGTTGGAGCAGCGGGTAAACAGTATCATATGCTGTGACTAAGCGGGGTTGATTCCAGGAACATGAATGGGCTCCTCAGAGGCCACTCAATCCCTATAACTCATCCCACCACCAAACCAACCCATGTCCATAAGTTTGAGAAAGAAGTGTTGCCACAACAGACATCCGTAACAGACACAGCAATAGGAGGGAGCAGCTTCCCTACAACAAACGATCCCATTTCCCACCAAGCATCAGAAAGTGCCCCTCTTGGGCGCCTGGGTGGCTCAGATGGTTAAGCCTCTGCCTTCAGCTCAGGTCATGATCCCAGGGTCCTAGGATCGAGTCCCGCATCGGGCTTCTTGCTCAGCAGGGAGTCTGCTTCTCCCTCTCCCTCTGCCTCTGCTTGTTCTCTCTCTGTCTCTCTCGCAAATGAATAAATAAAATCTTAAAAAAAAAGAAAGAAAGAAAGAAAGAAAGTGCCCCTCTTGTAGCAGACAAGCAGGGAAGGAAGGTTTGCCTGGTGGCTCTTTCTCTAGCAACGCGCACGGCAGGCAAGAGGGGCCAGGACCCGGGGCCCCGAAGCCCCCATGATGTGACAGGTGCAGCTGGGAGGTGCTGAGTCTCACTTCGGGACTAGTGAAAGTGATGCTGTCACTGCCGTCCTGCTGCCCCGGCCCGAGTTCCATCATGCCCCTGCACCCCCTCTCGTACCAGCACAAACGTTCAAGAAGGCTCCCTACAGCCCTGTAAGAACAAACAATGGGACTTGGCCCAAGCGCCGCCAGCGGGGAGGAGGGCGGAGCAGCTGTGTGTCCATCCAGGCAAATATTCTGCTCACTCGACCAGCCAGGGCTGGGTGTGCTGACACGGCCAACCCCACAGCTATGCTCAGTGGTTCCCACCAAAGCTG